ACACACACACACACAATGTACACAAACAGCCCCTAACCCCCCCATACGTCTCCAGCCCTTTGTCAGGCTGAAGCTCGCCTTATGACAATGTGGATTAGCATTCCACACACTCACTGAGCTGAACTCTGCCCTGTTGTTCCTAATCACCAGCAGTCTGCCTGCACACACACACAGTTTATCCCACCAGTGTACAGCTACATGAAACATACTGCTCTAGAGACACACACACACACACACACACACAGGGCCATGTGAACTTTTACAATGACCCATTTCCAGAGCCTCACTTTGGTCCCCCGACCATTAGCACACGTGACATTCCTACAGCAGACGCATTAATGGAGCATAAAGTGTTTTCCGTGCGTGTGTCTGTGTAGCCTGAGTGCTGCTAAACCCAACAACAACAACCGCCACTCCACTACACAGACGTCCATGACGTTACATTACCATACACAGTCTGGCAAACGCAGGCGGAGAGCAAATGCACTTCAGCGGCAGCCGTCTGTGCTTCCCACTGCAGAAGCACTAACATCTCATAAAGACCAGGAATACTTGTTGCCTCTGTTCTCTTTTTAGCTGCAGCTTTAGAGCAAAAGGGGGCATTTGAAATGGAGGCTGACTCGTGTCAGCTTCTGTGAGCAGTAATCTGAAGAAAGTGTCGTTTTAAGCTTGTGCACTTTGCAGTTAGAGCTGGAGATGAAACTCTGTTCAGAAAGTTAGACTTCATAATTGGCTATGGTAGCGAAAGCACCTTCGTATCATTCATGAGGAGCTGATTTCTGATTGGGGTGAAGGATTTCACCTTTACAAGAATTTGATACTGAATATTTTACAGATTTCTTTCAGCTCCTTCCAGTCTCTGCTCATACACAGACAAGAAGATTCTTTTGTGTAATTTTTTTTCTCCTGTTGGTGTAATTTCTACGTATCTCAGCTAAAGGGACACACACACACACACACACACAGGCTATAAATACACATGCTGTCTCCATACATGTATAATAAAACGCATACATGGCTCATCCCCCCCGCATGTGCGCACGCTAAAGTGATGCATTTTTCCGTGGAGCAAATCGGCACTTAAGTTTGAAAAATTTAGGAGCAGAGAACATTTCCTAACAAATCGTGAACCGAACTCATAAATTAAATTTAAATTGTGCTCGTTGAAGGACTACTTGACGCTGAGAGCAGCTGGAGGGCATTTTGGAGACACAACTAGAGATGAAATGATAAATTGATAAACTGAGAAGTCGCCAAAAAGAACTATTTGGATAATCTATTCATTGTTTGATTCATTTATCAAACAAAAATGCTAAATATTTGCTTTAACAAGCTTCTTAAATTGAGTATTTTGAGCTTTTATCCTTCAATATTGTAACTTGAACGCTAAAAATAAGCATTAGTTGCAGCCCGAGATACAAGTTTATCGCCAGGATCAGCGTGCTCCTTTTTTAGCTCGTAGCACGAGAGAGAGAATATGTTACTGTTAACGCTGTAAAACCCTGCCCAGGATATTACACACACTCATAAACATACTCACACAAACAGTCTCAACAAGCATAATGGCAAATCTTATCTAGGGCACAATAAAGAGTGTGCAAGCCTTGTTCTGACCTTTCATCTCAGAGCAGCAGGCCTTGTGTGTGTGTGTGTGAGTTATTAAAATCTATTTAAAATCCCTTCTGTGCCCTAAAACATAAACACTGTTGGGCCCAATTGTCTTCACATCTGCTGAAACCCGGGCATCAGCGGCCGTGTATGGAAACTGAAACAAACCCCAGGCGAGCGGCACAATCTCGCTCATGGGACAGCAACAGAGGGTGAGGAGGGGAGGAGGGGGGGGGGTGCTCGCACAAAACATCAACTGTGCCACCCATCCTCCCTCTTCCTCCTCCTCCTCCTCCCTCTGAGCCATTCATGAGCCCTGGCATCCAGTGTGGGGGGGGGCGATTAGAGGGTGGCAGTGGGCAACAGAGGAGGACGGAGTAATGCAACTCACTCTCCTTTTTTCTCTCTCAGGAGGAAGTAAACAGCCTTTATTTGGGTGCCTTTTTTATTCTGCCTCAGACAGTGAGGGAGGAAAGGAGGAACACACACAACACTACACCAGACAGGCAGACAGCCAAGCACTCACAGAGACAGTCAGTCACGCCCTGTCTGTTTCTAGACCACATCCTGTTCTAGTGCAGTCCTCAACTGTGTCAAAGATCCTGCTACAGATACGCTGATATATACTTCCTGGTCTGAACCATGCAGCACTGAGATACCGAAGCCTCTCGCTGCCTGAATGTGTGTCACAGAGTCTCTTTAAACTCATCTAATGTCACTTTCC